TATAATTAAGCGAGAATAAGTAAAATTAAGTTTAGTATTAATGATTTTTTGATTGAATAAAGGTCTTACGACCAACAAAAAAAAATCTTTTTTTTTCCGACTTGTGCAAGCAAGCCGGTAACTGGCGCCCGAGTCAAATAAGCTCGGCGGCGTCTAGTGTTAGTTGTTGAAAGTGTTAAGAACGTTAAAGTGCCACAAATAAATAAAGACCTTTTTTAAGAAAAAAAGTGCAACAATAAAGTGCCACAAATTAAAGACTTTAGAAGAAATTTGCCACACTAAGGTGCCAAAAACAAATAAAGACTCTAAAAAGTGCCACAAAAAAGAAGAAAGAAAGACTTTGAAAAAGTGTGCCACAATAAAAAACGACTCCACACAAAAGTGAGATAATAACACTAAGTGGCGTGAAGAGGAACGTGGAACTTCCTTGACGCCCCAACGACAGCACGACACCAGCCGACCCGGAGTAAAAACAGCAAGGAGTAAGCAAGTGCCCCCGAGTACCGTAAAGAAAAAAGGATATCAGCACACTTACCAGCATAACTACCAACAATGCAGCTGCTACTAATGTAAGAAAAATAGATTATAAGTACTAATTACACCATATAAACCTTATTCTCAATTCCTAAATTTAACGAAATAAAAATAGTTAGAGAAAGAATTTAGATACACGTCTGAAAAGTGAAAAATTTAAACAAAGAAAAGTTGTTAAAAATAGAAATAAGTAGTGAAAAAGTTAAATAAAGAAAATTTTTGAAAAATAGGTACATAGTGAAAAATCTAAATAAAGAAATATTTTTTTTGAAAAATTGAAATAGGTAGCTAAAATCCAGAAATAACAAATTGGCTTGTACAGCCTATAAAATTAAATATTACTGAAGCTGCGATTCACCACCTTCGGGGGGACCCTCCAGCTTATAACATAAAAAAAACACTGCGATTCACCACCCAAGGGACCCTCCAGTGATTTATCAACTAAACAAAAACCTAAAAGGATAAATTAATAATAAAAAATAAAAAACAGATAATAATAACAAAAGAAACTGGCAAATCCAAATAATTTAATCAGACCACCAGTGTTAGGGAATAACGCACCACCCCCACCTGCCCAACAAATATCCCCAGAAGTAGCAAACATGATACGAGCTATGGTTTCCCAGGCTATAGAAGCCAGTGGGCCGGAGCTAGTCAGGACTACTCTAGGCAACAACAATAACCCCATCATAACAGATCAGACCATAGACGAGCAATATAGAAACAATATGGCTGAAATGGATAAAGTACCAGATGTCGTACGATCCTTGAGAGAATTCTCAGGAAATGCCTCTGAGTTCAGCTCATGGAAAAAAAGTGTCGAGCGAATTATGAAGATATATGAACCCTCAAGGGGCACCCCAAAATTTTTCGGAATTCTAAATGTTATCCGGAACAAAATCGTTGGAAAAGCGGATATAGCTTTAGAATCTTATAACACCCCCTTAGATTGGACAGCCATCTCCCGCTGTCTGACTACCCACTATGCCGATAAACGCAACATAGGCACTCTAGAATATCAAATGACGTGCCTTATTCAGGGAAGAAGCTCCGTAAACGAATTTTATCAGAAGGTTTATAGTCAATTATCCCTAATACTTAACAAAATAGGATGTATGGAAATTGGCGAGGAAGCAGTCCATCTACTAACGGACAACTACCGTGCCAAGGCCCTCGATACCTTCGTGAGAGGACTTTCCGGTGACCTCCCTAGGCTTCTGGGTATAAAAGAACCCAAGAGTTTACCAGAGGCACTACACCTTTGTCTAAAGCTGGAAAATCAAAGCTTTAGAGCACACCATGCCAACAACCAAGTGTTAAACGCACCATCAGTCCCCAGACATCAAAGCTTCAACTCTTTCATTCCTAGACAACAACCCCCATGGTAAAGCAGGTACAACCATCAAACTCACAATTTCCCCAATCAGGATTTTATCCCGAATTAGCCCATATACCTCACCCTCAGCAAACCTATCGCCAACCAAATCATAATCCTCATAGCTCCCAGCAATACCAAAATCCAAATCCAAACAATAGCTACCAACAACAAAATCCCTATAACCACCCTAGATATCCATATAACCAACAACCAAACTATCCTCCCCCAAGGCCACCTAAACCTCCTCAACCCATGGACGTCGACGAAAGCGTCCGGACAAAAGCGGTAAATTATGTCAACCGCCCTAAGCCCCAAGAAACTGGCAAACGACCACCGAATGCATCCATGATCAACCACCCCCCAGCGAAAGCTCAAAGGAACTTTCATATAAACACGGACGGAACGACCTACGATCCATACCATGAAGACCAGGATTATAACCAATACGAAACGACCAACAAACAGCTTACGGCCAGGAAACAACTTACAATAATGTAGACGAAGAACCATATGACCTAACGGACGTACATTTTTTAGACTGAATAGCTCTTCGTTGCCCTATTTTCGATGCAAAACGAAGAGCGGCGAAATACTTAACATATTAGTAGACACAGGATCTAACAAAAATTATATCCAATCCAGTCTAGTTAAAAACGCAAAGGAAAACGATAACCCTTTTTTCGCCAATTCAGTTGGAGGGAAAATAAAGATTACGCAACACACATTTTTAAATCTTTTCAACTTGGAAAATTATAGACTCAAATTCTTCCTACTACCCACACTTAAGACTTTCCATGCTATATTAGGAAATGACAGCCTAAAAGAACTTTCAGCGGTCATACACACAAGAGCAAATTTCATGGTCATAGCAAACACAAAAAGGATCTACCTAAGACAATTTAGTATACAGAACGTTAATACAATACATATTCGAGACGAACACCTTACAACAATAGGCAAAAACGAAATAACACAGCTAACACAAAAACACCGCAACCTATTCTCAGAACCGAACGAAAAACTGACATACACAACCAAAGTAGTAGCAGAAATACGAACGATTTCCGACACGCCCATATATTCAAAATCCTACCCATACCCCATCACCCTTAAACAAGAGGGGGAAGACCAAGTAAACAAATTATTGGAAGACGGAATTATCCGAAAATCAAGGTCACCCTACAACTCACCTGTCTGGATCGTACCCAAAAAGAACGACGCTTCAGGCGAAAAGAAGTTCAGAATGGTTATCGATTACAGGAAATTAAATGCAGTCACAATTGCAGATAGGTATCCAATACCCGAAATAAATGAGGTTCTCTCTCAACTAGGAGAAAACCGAATTTTCTCTGTGATTGACCTAAAAAGCGGTTTCCATCAAATTCCTCTTAAGGAATCTGACGTGGAGAAGACAGCTTTTTCGGTGAACAACGGAAAATACGAGTTTACCAGACTGCCATTTGGTTTGAAAAATGCCCCATCCATCTTCCAAAGGACATTGGACGATATACTAAGGGAACATATAGGACGGATATGCTATGTATATATAGACGACATTATTATATTTAGCAAAGACGAAAAGGAACATTTTGAACATATAGATACAATTTTTGACACCCTTACAAAAGCAAACATGAAAGTACAAGTCGACAAATGTGAATTCTTTAAAAAACAAGTTGAGTTCTTAGGATTTGTAGTGTCCCCTGATGGAATTTCAACAAACCCATCCAAAGTACAAGCAATAGCCAACTTCCCCTACCCTCAGACGTTCAAAGACTTAAGATCATTCTTAGGATTATCTGGTTATTATAGACGATTTATTAAAGATTATGCTAAGTTAGCAAAGCCGTTAACATCCTTACTTCGAGGTGAAGAAGGAAGAATGTCTAAAAGCAGTTCAAAAAAAATCCAAGTACAATTAAACGAAGAGGCAAAGGCAGCATTCAATAAAATCAAAAACACTTTGATATCCAAAGACGTAATTCTGCAATATCCCGATTACAGCAAAGAATTCAACCTGACTACAGATGCCTCAAAATATGCCATAGGCGCGGTCCTGGAGCAAAGTGGCAAACCAATTACCTTCATATCAAGAACCTTGAACAAAGCAGAAGAAAATTACGCAGTAAATGAAAAGGAAATGCTTGCCATAATCTGGGCACTCAACTCCTTTAGAAACTACCTATACGGTACAGCAAAAGTGGTAATACACACTGACCACCAGCCCCTTACATATGCCCTAAGTAATAAAAATAATAATTCAAAGCTAAAACGATGGAAAGCCATACTCGAAGAGTATAACTATGAATTAAGATACAAGCCCGGAAAATCGAATATAGTTGCAGACACATTATCTAGACCATTCGAATTAAATTCATTATCAGTTGCTACCCACTCCGATGAAAGCTCATCACACAATCTAATCCCAGCAGTGGAAGGACCCATAAACGCCTTCAAAAACCAACTTTGGATCTCTTTAGGAGAAGAAGACAGCTATCAGTTTAAAATACCATTCCCGACCTACCACAGACATGTAATTATTAAACCCAATTTTTCAATTACTAAACGTTACCTAAAACGTTACCTAAATCCTTCAGTCATAAATGGCATAATTACCTCCGAAGAAATAATGGGAAAAATTCAAGAAGTTTACCCCCTACATTTTTCCAATTATAAAATCCGCTATACCCAAACAAAAGTAGAAGACTTAATAAGCGAAGACGCCCAAAACGAAGAAATTTTAAAAGAACACAAACGAGCACACAGAAATAGAGAGGAAAATAAGAAACAACTCATACAAAAAGTCTACTTCCCCAAAATGAAAGCAAAAATAGAAAATATTATTAAGCAGTGCAAAGTTTGTAAGGAACATAAATATGATCGCCATCCCAACAAACCGAAATTACTCGAAACCCCAATTCACCAATATCCCGGTGAAATAGTTCACATAGATATCTATACTACAGAAAAACGTCTGGTTTTAACGGCACTAGACAAATTTTCAAAATACGCACAAGTTAAACTAATAAGATCAAAGGCAATAGAAGACATTAGAGAACCGCTACGAGAAATAATTTTTTCTTTCGGAGTACCGAAAACAATAGTCATCGACAACGAGAAATCGTTAAACTCAGCTTCCATTCAATTCATGGTTGAAGATCAACTTGGAATTGAAATATTTAAAACACCCCCTTACGCAAGCACAGTCAACGGTCAAGTGGAGAGATTTCATTCCACCCTATCCGAGATTATGCGCTGTCTTAAAACAGAACAAACTCATCGCTCGTTCCAAGAACTTTTAGATAGATCCACATATGAATACAACTACACCATACACTCCACAACAGGAAAACGACCGATAGAGACATTTTTCGGCAGACGAGTTTCAATAGACCCCGAACAATATGAAAACGCACGCAGAGAAAACATAGACATACTTAGGAAAAGACAAGCGAAAGATTTAGAAACCCATAACAAAACAAGACAACCCATAAAAACATATTCCCCTGGTGATATAATTTACGTCAGGATAAATAAACGACTAGGATCCAAACTCACCGCTAGATATAGGAAAGAAATAGTAAAAGAAGACAAATCTAGCGTAATAATAACTGAAAAAGGACGGACAGTACATAAAAGTAACATCAAGACTTAGAAACACTACTAATCTTTCAATTTTCTTACATACGTATAATTTTTTTTTACAGACTTCTCGTACATTTAGTATACGCAGACTATAAAATTATAGACTATACGAACTCACAACTAGCAACATTCGACACAGGACGGACAAAAATTCAAACTGGAACCTATAGGATAATACACAAGGTTGATCTAGATGCATGTCAAAAGGCATTAAATGAAATAAGCACTACTATACAATCAAAGATTACTAACGAAAACCCCCTTTTACCCATCCTCATTAATGAATTAAACTTAACAAAAACTTATCTAAATAGAATTAAACCCAAAAGGTTTAAGAAGTCTATAAACACAATAGGAAAAGTCTGCAAATGGATCGCGGGAAATCCCGATCATGATGACCTAGTTACACTAGAGAGCCAAATAAATAATATAATAGACAATAACAACAATCAAGTAACAATAAATAAAATAGTTTTTGATAGGATAAATAAAATAACAGCCGTTTCAAATAAAATTTTGAAAGCCGTTCAATCTAGCGAAGACATACAGCACAATGTTGCTGTAGAATTAAAATACAAACTTAGTAGGGCTCGTAAAATTATCCGACTATTCGATTAATCGGTTAACCGATTATTCGATTCGTAACCGTTCGCATGCTTATTAGTCGGTTAATGGTATTCGAATAGTCGCCCGCCTTCGATTATTCGAATAGTTGCTTTGCTTCGACTACTCGAGCATTGTAGCAAATCGAATTTCAGCAACCGAACTTTCATTGAAATTTCTTTGACAAATGAAAAAAAATTTATTTAAATATATACATGCACACATATGTATGTATATTCAGATACAAAAAATGAGCGGACGCAAAAGGAGCTGGGTTTGGGATTTTTTCGAAAAAACAGAGGACGAAAAGGAAGTAACATGTTCCATATGTGGTGCAGTTTTGTGCTACACCGCCTCCACATCCTCACTGAACAACCATTTAACAAAAATCCATAACAAAAATCGCGAAAATGAGAGGTAGGTATTGCTTTAGCCATTGTCTCTAAAATATTTCGCAATAACATTTCAATAATTAGCGCACATTCTTGCAAAAAAAGTTTGCCTTAATTTTGCACATGCCATCTTATATATGTACTACGAATGTAACAAGACTTTTCATATATGTATATGTATCTGTAAATGCAAAAAAAAAAACTCGAACTTAAAATATTCGATTCACCGAAAATGAACGGTTAACCGAATAATCTAAAGTGAACGGTTATCCGAATAGTCGACAGCTTTCGACTACTCGAATATTGCTAACCGATTAACAGTAGTCGACTTCAGTCAGATTCGAATAATTCGGTTAATCGATTAACCGAATTGCCCGAGCTCTAAAACTTAGAGTTATAAAGGAAGAAATTATCAATATAGACTATGCGATCCATTGGGCTAAAGCCGGAATTGTCAATTCTTATATTTTGTCAAATGAGGAATTAGAATTAGTTAAATCTGTAATTTTAAGGAATAACCTTGCATTATATAACGTTGAGGAATCGCTAGAACTTGCAAATATAAAAATAGCTTCAAATAGCACAATGTTATTCTACATAGTAGGCATACCATTAACAAATGAAGAAATTTGTGAATCAATTCTAATTAAACCAATAAAAAGGAAAAAATATATTAATAAAATCCCTTTTCAAGACATTGTAACTTGTAATGATAAAAAAATATTTGCTATTAAACAAAATTGTAGAGAAAACAATAATATTAAAATTTGTAGTCATAGAGATATTATAGACATTAGTAACACTACCTGTGTACCGCCATTACTAAGAAGCAGACCGGCAGAGTGCACATTAGTAAAC